GTATTATCCTCAGCAGTAGTAAGGTAGCAGTTACCACTAAACAGCCTGTATTAATGAGTTCAGTAGAAGTGTGTCTACGGTACTTGTTACAGTTTATGAACAGTTACATAAAGGTTACACGTAACACTCTCAGGTGCAGCTAATAACACCAGCAGAAGGCTCTTACTTCAGATTGTCTGGGATTTTGGGAGGTAACAAAAGCATCCTTGTTTTCCAAGTGCATTCAATCTGTGGTGAACATGGTTAATGTTTAACGGATGCCAAGCAGCATATTAACCTTTTACCCTGACATTTACCAGTATGATAGCAGGCAGTGACATTGGCGGCTATTAAAACCTTTGAGCAGTTATTCAGCTAAAATGAGGAATTACTTGCACGTGTCTATCTGCATGACACTTCCTGCATTTTTGCTTTAGAGTTGTTAGCCACACTGCCAGGAATGTTTAAATAGGGCTTTTTGATAAATTTGGTAATTGCAAAGAAAAAAAGGTATTTAAAAACTGGCCAATATATGACCTGAGCCAAGATGAGCAGGTAAAACTGACAAATTCATTAACAAAGCTCAACCATTAAAAGTCAAGGATGTTAGATAGAATTATTAGCTTTTCAGCTATTATGTTTATAAGCCTTCTTAAGGTTTTGTTCTTCCTTTTTCCTGATCCAAACGGGTTAAAGAACCTGTACAGACTGTAAAACCTCTTGAGACACATCTGGAATTAGTGACACTGGATTACAGTCACTATAGTAACTGGCTTGATTAAGACACTGGCTGCTATTGTATCATAACAAAGTGATCAGAACCCTAAAATAAGAGTCTTCTTTGAGTCGTCTGCCTTTGCATTTGTTCCACTGTCTCATAATCCCATCAAGTGTTAATGCTCTTCTGAGTGATTTGCCTTAATGAGTTTTAGCTTGAAGTGTTTCTGGAGCTGTGCTGTTATGATAAGAAGTGGGTGAGGATGCATTACTAGCTCCGTTAATGCATCCTTGGTACAGAGTCACTTTACAAGACAAACTACTCACAGAAGTGCTGCCCTCTACTGATGCAAGCTCATTTTCAGTCCTTCCATTTTGAGAGGAATTTTCAATCATTCAAGTATAAAAAAAGAGACCAAACTCAAGGGATGAAAAAGTCTTGTGTCTACACAAGGACTTAGAAAAGAACCAATTTTACCTATTTTTATTAGCAGTTTGTCACAAAAAATACACGATTTGTTCTTTCTCGCTGTTCATTGAAACCTCATCGGAAATGGTCTCAGTGGAAGAGCGGCAGTCAAGAAGCTAGAAGGGAAACTGGGAAAAAAGGTTGAGCTATGCCAAATAGGGGATTTTATCACAACTGATGGAATTATGAATGCAGAAAAGTGGCACAAAATTTAAATCCAACATGCAATACCATCTCAAAAGCAGCTGATTGGTAGCTGCTTCTTTTTTCAGTGTTGCAATGATCCCAAACATACTGTCAGTGCAGTAGAATTATACTTGGATAAAAAAACACACACACACTAGAACATGATCAGTCATGGATTGGCCTCCCCAGAGCCCGGACTTTAACATTAGTGAAGCAGAATGAGATGATCTCAACAGAGAACTGAACAAAAGACACCCATTTTCCATTTTCCTAGCAAAATATGAATAAACGAATGGTGACTGAAGACTTTTGTACAGTACTGTATTTAACCCTTTCTAACTTCAAATGGAACATGGTGTCCCTCATCCACCTAGCAAGGGGTGGCGGAGGTAATCTTTCCAGTTTTAAAGAACAGGATGATGGGCTAGCAGGCAATCAAAAGAAAGAGTATTATGATGTTTTTAGACCAGGTTTCACACTAAATATGGCAATCATAGGACTGGGCTCAGCTGGTGTGTTAAAAGCCTCCCTGAGTGATTTAAATATGGAACACCAGAATGCACTGAGGTCAGGGTCTGACTAAAACATCTGGATTAAAGTACCGGGAGGTGATTTACATGCGCTACATATCGGGTCCAAATGAGGGTATATTTTTGGAATTTATTCCATGTTCCTGTCATTTTTTACTTTGTACTGTATTTCTGTCTAATCTGTATCTATAGCACTCATTATATGCCCATCCAGGGCATATAAAATCTGAGGAAGAGGACCACTTTTTTGCTTATTGACCTTCATTTAGGATTATTTGGGTTTTTTTTGCCTTTATTTGATATTTGACATGCAGCAAAAAACACAAATCGGGCAGCTGCTCCACCAGTAAGCTAAACCAGCCCTTGTTTATTGACCATCTTAAGGTTTATTCAATTTTTCTGTCATGAACATTTATTTTACGCCCAGCTGATAGCTGCCCGTCCCATCGCTTGTTCTGCCAGAGGTTTCCTCCTGGTAAAAGGGAGTTTTTCCTTCCCACTGTCACCAAGTACTTGATTGTTGGGGTTTTTCTGTATTATTGTGGGGTCCTTATCTTACAGTATAAAGCACCTTGAGGTGATTGTTGTTGTATAAACAGAATTGTGGTTTCTAAGTTTAAAGGTGAAGCTGATTTGATAGCTTTGGTTTATTGTGGTCACATGCTGAATTATTTGCACACAGATGTTGCCATGGTGCTTCATAAATTTTTTGTGGTGCATGAGGGATTTGTGCACGTGTCTAGATATACTTAGTAAAACCAAAACCAAAACACATTCGTCATCCTGCTAATATTCTCTACATACTTCATGCAGATCGATGTCTACTGCTGAGCAGATTTCTTTCTCAGCGGTGTTTCTTTTTTTTTGACCTCACTGCTCCTTCTAGCAGCTCCCATCTTCTACTTTAATCCCTCATCCTGGAGGGGAGGCCAGGGAGATGCACACAAAGGAGAGAAAGCAGTCTCTGCTCTCCATCACGAGGCCCCTAATGATGCTAACCCTATACCACTGACAGAGGAGAAAGTGGCCACAGGGGCGACAGGGATGGGGGATAATATGTTGGACTGATGAAGGCTGTTCTTTGCTTCAAATAATGTGAATAAAACATGAAAGGTGAGGCTTGTTATCTTGGTTTTATTTCCACATGTTTTCGATTATGATCCAGATTTCTATCTCGGTGATAGTAATAAATATAATTACAGTTAAACGAGTTCTGCAGTCATCCTGTTTGTGGCACTAAAGCGGTGATATTTTTTCTTCTCAGGGCTCCTTATTCAGCTGCACTGACACGAAGGTCCTAAACAAGAGGACGTATGAGACAGAGAAAGACACATCAAAGCTGACCTCATATGAGAGATAAGTGATCATAATTCAGTAAATACTGACCCATCACGTCTGGATTACGATTAGCTGGCAGGCTTGTATAAGAGGTCAAGCTGGACAGAGAGATCATGCAGGGGTCCGGCTGTCCCCAGGTGTCATAACATGAACACGGCTGGTCTTGGTACACACTGCAAGAGATGTCCCCTGCTGGAAAACAAAACAGTTCCAGCTCAGGTTCTCTTTCATTTCCCTTCCTGTCTCCATTTCTATCTTCACTTGTTCTAATTAGACGAATGATGAAACACATGCATGCCTGCGTTTCCAGGGGTAACTATGCATATTTGTCCATGCAATCTCCTCTTCTAATGCTCGCAGTGATGGAGATGTGAGGGTGTATGGGCCTGTAATGAGAGGCCAAGGTGAGGAGGAGGCAGCGAGGAGCAGAGAACCTGCTGGCTTTGAGGACAGAAGCCTGGGGAGCTGAGGTGGACCTCCTGCCGCGGAGGTTGTTTTAGTCAGACTAATATTAACATAAGACCGCTGGCTTTTCACATCAGTCTGCCATGTGGTCACAAGCTGCGGAGAAGAATAGGCTCTAAACCCTGAGCCTGCTCTGTAAATACATCCATGTGTGTGAGCTCTTACAGTAGAAAAAGAAATGGCCAGTGAAGTTTGTCTATCTTAAGGATGCAATTTCAAACAATGTGTCTTGCAGAAATTATGTTTTCTTGGTATGACTTCAAAATATATTTTTTAAAAAGGTGTATCAAGAAAAAAACTTGTTGGAAAGGTATTAAAAATAGGACTTTCAAAGACATCTGAACAATGTGCAGATTTGCTTAAAAAGAGAAACTTTACATTCTTCACCAGTTATCCAGCTAGTGTCTGCAAGCTCCAGAGGCACCAGCTCTTGAGCAGATACGAACGTTTCTAGATTTGTGACACCAACATGACTACAATCAGATGAGAAGATTGTATGACTCAATATGAAATACAATAATATCAGTTTAAGAGTTTCTCCTCTCTTCTAATCTCTGTCACCAAATGTGTTTCCCAGGGCTCAATAGCACTTAGAAAACATCTATGCAAGCATAGCCTAAACTTTCTCTCAGCTCCACATCACCACAAACTGTCTGCCAGACATTCTCCTCAATCCCTCACTAACTGCTTCTGTGACCTCAGGATCTGATTATCTTCCAGTTTTCTCAAAATTAACAAAAACAAAACTCATGGTTTTTTATTAAAATGCACTTGTATGAAGAGTTGGAGCTCTATCTCTTGCAGTTCATGGTTGTTTACTATCTGCCCATCCATGATGGTTGACAAACTACGGTGTATCCTGGACTTGACCTTATATTCTATTATCTTCTATTTAAACTAAAGCTTCCTGGGTCCAGATATTCACCTACAACCTTTTTTGGTGTTGGGGTTTATTTCAACCTCTGCAGCATCTCTCGTTTCTGTCATTAATTCTCCTTTCTTTCTGTTGCTTTTTTCACCTTTTGTCTGAACGATTGTAACAGAATCTTTTCTGTAGCATTAAGATTCATATCCCTGGAGCATCCCCTGCTCAAGTTCCTTTGAGATTTTGTGTCTCACAACCCTGTATGAGCAACTGAATCGCTACACCATCTCCCAAAATCTTTGCTCCATTGACACTGAGCAGCCACCCATTTCCCGTTCCCTGGACTTACATGTGATGCTGCAGGAGTTGCTGCTTAATAATGTCTGACAAAAATAGAGAGCTGCTAACAGCAGATAAAACAATCGAGTGTAGACACTGGTAGTAGAAGTGAAAATATAGAAATTAATAGAATACTTGTGAGCCTACACTTTCAACATGAACAATTGCAGATCACGCTCGCAGATTACATTACCTTCTGGTATCTTGCAGCTATATTTTGAGATTCCCAGAATCCCACTGATGGAAAAGCTGGTTGGGGAGGAACAGGCTGTTCCCATGGCAACTGATGATGCTGAGGACACTGCAGAGGCAGAGGTTTAGTGTCATTAAACATTTGTGAGAGCACGAGAGGGTAAAAGAAACAGTCTTACCAGCTTCACAAGATTCGGACTGAACTTTCTTCCTGATGATTCTGTGAGGACAGAAATAACTCACTCAACGGTTTTCTTCACTTTTAAAATCTGTGTAGTCAGACACGCGTGAGTTCACACGCTGTACCTGTTGATGGAGCTGATGCTGGGCACACTGTTCTGGTCACACACTTGCTCCAGCAGCAGCCTGTCTCGGATCTCCCAGGCGAACATGGTGGGGTTGTGGTGTTTCAGTTGGAGGATCTTTTGCACAACTTGGGGAGTGGCCACTTTGGGCTTAGAGCCCCCGATCAGTCCGGGTCTGATGCTTCCTGTCTCATTGTACCTGAACAAACAATGTCAATATCTATCAGTTGGGCTAGCATTTTACCTGAAAGCAATGCTGTATAACAACCACATCAAAAAGTCACCTTTCAAGGATTTTCACCTTTAATTACATTATCAGCTATTGTAATATATATATATTTTTTTACATTTTCCATAAAAACCTCAAGCTGTAATGAAGTGAGAAAAACCAAGAAATTTAACAGTCAACCTTAAAGCTTAAAAAACAACAACAACAAAATATCACAGCATCACAAAGAAATTACACTCACTAGGGTGCTCACACAAAATATTTGCATTAATATAAGTAAGGTATGCAATAGATTTAAAAAAAATAATGACAAGTTTTACAAATAAGCTAAAAAAAAAAAAATTGTTTAAAATATGTGGTTTTCATATTCAATTGATACACTTTGCTTTTGGAAAAGTGGTAAAACAGCCAAGCAGACATCACTAACGCTAAAATGTATTTAAAAATACCTTTATGTGTGAATTAATACACTACTAAATAAAACAAATACTACCACTCATTACCCCTACGACGGAGTATTTGGGCCACATTAAGAAAAAAAAAATAGTGTCGAAATTTCTGGGATGAACTCGAAATCATTTTGATAACATTTTGATAATAAAGTTGAAATGTGGAGATAACAGTAGTTTCAAGTCAAACATCTGCCACAGCTGCTAGGCTGTGTAGATGAGTTAGTGAAACAACTTGATCAGCTGTCTTCTTGTGTCTTGTGATACAACATACACCCTCTACGCCCTCTAACCATCGGTATCCGTACACCTTTCCATTACCAGCTGTTTTATTTTACTCTTCAAAGCTTCTCTTTTTGACCAAATGCAGCTTTCAGCTCTTTAGCGCCCTTATGCTCATCACATATCAGCAAACTGCGTTCATGAGTTAAAAAAAAAGACACAATTTCCTTGTTAATAAAACTAATTATGAAGTACGATTTCACTACATAAAGCATTATGTAAAAGGCGTCAATCTTTATATTTCAATCTGACAGTGATTAACAATCACGTGGCCCTGATGCTCCTTCGTACATTACAGACTCCGTTTACCTGGCCAGTATTTTGCTGACGCAGCCGTGACTGACGCGCAGGCGGCGGGAGATCTCACAGGGACGCACGCCCTGCTGCGCGAGCTCCACGATGTGCTGTCTCACCACGTGAGGTAACGGGCGGCCGTTAATGAAGACACCGCCAAGCTGATTGACTCCACCGTGCCCTGAGCACCGGAGCGGATGAAGAAACATCAGTTAAATTGTGCTATACTTTAGACCACCCATTCATGCGCTCAGTGCACCGACTGCCGCGTACTACTTAAAGTTAAAGAGGTAACACTATAACTTAGTCTGGGCTACGGTGCTGGTAAAGTCCCTCATTAGGAAACATCATTAGGCTACTTACTGTGCGTAACGGTGAGCGGAGCCTGTCCAAAATGCACTTCCATCACAGACTTTTGTCTAAGTGTGGAAAATGCTTGGAGATCTGTTGGACTTCTGCTTCTGGGTGCGGTTATTGTGGAGGTTGCAACATTTTAAACCAACCTGGAAACTGAAAAACTAAAGTTGTGCGCGGTGCGAGGTGGCGGGTCAGAGGCTCCTCTCAGATACTTTCAGCACCTGCGCGCTGGAAAGCTGCTGGAGCGCTTTGAACGCACACGCACGTGCAGCAGCTCGTGTGAGCAGGGCTGTACCAGGACTTTAGGAATACAGAAGTGGTGAATCAGAGTCCCCAAGGCGGAGCCCCTTAAGTCCCCACAGTCCATGTGCTTTTAAAGTTATTTATCATAGAAATATCGTGAAATATTTAATATTTCCAAAAGCAAAACCTACACCTGGCTTCTTTCACGTACAGACACCATTTGCTGCATATGAAAGATGTGCTAATCCACACAATGCACAGCCTGAGCAGCAGATGATTTGTTCTTATGATAAATCAGTTTTAACGTTTAAAGCAAGAGCAATAAGCAGGCTGTGTAGCTGACATCTGTCTATTACTGTCTATTTATATTATAGTAAATCATCAGGTGCATACAACTTATTTTCGGTGTGCACATCAAATCATTTTTATGTGTAAGAACATCACAAATTTTGTATTTTTATAATAGATTATCGTGTGCACTCCAACTACTTCCATCAGAATTAAGATGGTAAGAAGCAGTCAGATGCAAACTGATCATCAGCAAGTGTGAGAAACCTCTATAAAAGCAGAAGTTCTGGTTTGCTGATTTAATGTCTTTTGGACAGATAAGACCACAATGGAGATGTTTGGCTATAATGTACAGAGCCACATTTGGTGAAAACCAAACACAGCAGCACAAACACCTCATACCAACTGTCAATCACAGTGGAGGAGGGGTTATGAATTTTGTTTTTTTTTTTGCAGCCACAGGACCTGGGCACTTTCTGAAGAAAAGCATCAAGGCAAGGCTGTGGGAAGCAGGGGAGCTGCAGCTGGTGTACTTTTTCAGCGCAACATTTAGGTTAAATTGTGATTGTTTATTGTTCTCTGCTATGTGCAGTGATGTAAGATAATTGCAAGACTGACAAAATTTGTAGAGCATGACAGGATGACAGAGACCCCCTCCTCTGAATTAAGGTGTTGCAATGGCACAGTTAAAGTCCAGACATACACCTGATTGAAATCCTGTGGTGGGACCTTAAGAGCTGTGCATAGCTGAAAACGTGCAACCCTCAAATGAACTGAAGGAATATTGTAAATACTGCAAAAGGTGAGTCAAATTTCCTCCACAACCATGTGAGAGATTTCTGAATCATGTGGCGTTCTTAGTTTTTCACACAATTCTTGGTTTAGTTTTTTTTAAAATAAAAAATAAATAATGACAGTGTAATAAGTCACGTGTTACTCATCTCATTGTATTTATATTTTATCTTAAGACCTGATAAGCCTTCTGATAAATGGACTGTTCCCCCTCCCCACCCACACAGCCATTCACACAGCCACACTGTAAGATCCACAAGCGGACTGTGTTGTCCCTGTCTACACATGCACGCACACACGTACACACATACAATACACTCCTCAGATACTCACACTACCTAATTTAACCATCCCCTTCAGTGAAAGGACTGCTGCTATCCACCCGAACGAATGTCACTTGAGTTTGTCTTAGAACTTTGATTTTATGCTATTTATTATCCACAACTATTGTTGCAATTCATTACTGCCTTTTAACTGCCCTTTTAAAACGTATTCTTTTTAATCTGTTTATTCTGTTTAAACTGTATTGCTTATTGCACTGTAGAGGCTGGTGAGAAACCGTATTTTGTTTCAGGCTGGGTAACATCATACGAAATGACAATAAACTTCTTGAGTCTTTTATTATGTCTTGATATGTAAAGCCTTAAAATTGACAGAGGGTGCACTTCTTTTTTTTAGTTATTTATTTATTACATTGATTGTAATATAACACTAGACCTTTATAGTTAACATCTAATTAGGATTACGCTTGACTGAATGTAGACTGATAGTCCTATTTCAGTTCAAAATGTATTAATGTGATTACATTTCTTAGTTAAATAATCTATTTTTAGTTCACAAAATTAATCCTACTGCTGTAGCAACGCTGCAGACTGAAGTCCATATTATAAAATGGTCTAACTTCAATCGCTAACAATTAAACCCAACAACGGTTATCAGAAAGTAGTTTTTCATACAAACGTGGACCTCTTCCTCTTTTATCACTGACTATACCTGGAAACTCCTAGACAGACTTTGGACGCTGGGTTCTGTTTTGGTTGTCCAACATTTTCCGGAAACGCCGGGTAAACCGCTCAACACAAGTAAACAGGCATGGGAGAAAAACAAGCTTTTTCTGCGCTGTATTGAAGGAACAATAATTTTACGCCATGAACCTGAAAGCGAAGTATTGGGAGTTAAAGGTGTAGGTAGCCGGATATCATGTTTACTGAAGTTATTTGACTTGGCAATGTTTAGCTGCTACTTTAGCTAACCGCCTCGTGCACTGCGGTGCTACTTAGCTCGCGACAAAATACGTTTTTTTAATGTTTTACCCGCGCGGTAATTATCCCGGTTTAAACCAAAACGGTTTTAGTTCGGTCGGATAAAAGACGTTAATAAAAACGTGTAAAAGACCCATCAGTTATCGCTGTTTGCTAGCAGTGAAGACAGTCACCTGTGAGTGGCGCTGTTCAGCTACAGGTTGTGTCAGGTCTGATTATGGAGCACACTGAGGAAAATGAAGCTGATGATGGGCAGGAGGGCTCCGAAAACTTCTTTATTCGGGGATCCAGCAGTTCAGAAGACGAAGGAGGAAGTATGAGACATTCGATGAGCTACAAACAAGCTGCACGGCAGAGCAGAGAAAGCTCCCCTCCGCTCCTCCTGGTCTTTCCATTCTCCTCTGGAGGAAAAAGGGCTCTGTTGGACGCTGAGCTAGAATTGTCTTCTAGTGATGACCTACAGGACGATAAAGATGAAGATCAGCCCATAGAGGACTGGATGATCCTGGAAGGGGAGGAACAGGTGGAGGACTCAAGCATCCAGCTCAATCTGAGCTATAGGAACAGCTCCGGGGAGGAATTAGATGATGAAGGTGAAACTTGACTTGGTCAGCTTTTGGGTTAAGAATATGGTTTCCTGCCATTTTATTTCCATAGTCTTAATGCAAGTCCGAGAGGTTTAAATATGAAAGCAAAAAGTCAGAAGTAAGTGCAATACAGGAGTGATATCCAACCAAAATCTGCAATAACAAAACAAATAAAAGTAAATACGATTATTCCACAACCTATTTGTAATGTGCGTTAAAGCTCAGCTAATCCAGATGGATGGATGTTATTCACAATGATTATTTGTAGATTACATACTACTGTATGGCTTCACCTTTGAAGTTTTGTCTGGTTAATGTATATCATCGATATATATATATATATATATATGTTGAGCTTCATTTGAAAATTGATGTACATTTAAAAGTAATTCCAAAAGATTACTGAGACCGTGCAGTATTAATTTGATTGATCAGTTTAATTTGATCCTAATACATACCACAGACCAAAACAATCCCACTATCCTACGCGTGCAATAAGTAAATGAATAGAAGCATTAAAATTAATCATACTTATTCTCATAGTGGACCTTTTGGAAGTGTTACCTGACAGAAACAATGCTAGCACAAGCAAAAAACCAAACAAACAAAATAAAGCAAACTACAAGAAATATAAAAACATTATTGCGTTAACTAAAAACATCCAGTAAAAATTATGTACTAACTTGTTGTTCTAAAATGCCCCTTGTTTAGTTTAACAAAGCAATTTTGGATTTCGAGATTTGCTTAGATTAATTTTTTTTTGTGTTGAAAGGTAATTTGTTTCAGAAATTTCTGGCAAAATATCTGAAGGTTTTTTGTGCCTGTGTTTTAACAACTGGAGAAATGTACACCAAATCACATCCAAGGGTACTGTAACTGGAAAAAAACAAATTCTAGTGAATATAATACATGAGGGTCAAAGAAAAGTAATCCACCCCAGGGAAACATTTAGCCATTTTGATCTGCAAAAGTCATCAAACACCTAAATTTGGTGCCATGAATAGGCCTTTGAACCATGCACAATTAATTACATGCGTAATCAATACTTAAATTAAAAATATGGGGTGATAACAAAAATGGGAGCCCAAGAAATCACGAACTGTCACCACATGCTTGTGCTCACTGGTATGGGGATTGGTTCACAAAAAAACTGGATGTGGGCGATCAAAAGAAAGACTTTAATACATCTACTTTAATAATTATTTAATTAGAGAGAAAACAGCTTTGAAATGCAGCTAGTGCAAACAACAAACAGATGCTACGTACTTATTGCTTACTTATTATGCTACTGTTGATGTTTCCATGAGCTGTAATGTTTTCTATAATGGGCTGTGGTGATACAGTTTAGTTATTTTTTTGTGGATGTACCAGCTTCCAGCATAGAGATAAAAATGAAGAAAAATAAAGATGACTAAAAATGCATCTCTGTAAATGCATTTCCACCAAAAAGAGTATATGGACCCAGTAAATGCACAGTTATTTTTGTAAATGTGTGGGAGTGCAATTTATTTAAAAAGTGTATGCAAAGACAGTTTGCTTAGCTTGGTGCTTTGGATGAAGATTATCATATTCACACCAGGGAGCTGCACAGAACAACCACTTTGATTTGACCCACCAGCTCGGGGCTCCACTGGAGCAGTAAAGTTTTAGGTTTTCTTTACACATAAGTGATAGTTAGTCCAGAAAGGTCAGGTGCCCTTCATTATTTTTTAGAGCTCCTGCTTTATCGAGACTAAATGCTTAGAAAAGATTACCAAGCTTTGAAAAACCCTCTTTTTCTTTTTTTTAGGTGCTTATGTTTCTGTTCAGTAACTAGGCTGAGATCAGCTTAAATTTGGATATTTTATTGCACACAATATTTAATTGTATTTATTAAT